GATAAGTAGATGAAATAGCTTTCCCTGATAGATCCACAAATTATCGAACAGTATAACATTGCATTCGCCTGAGGCTCCAGTTTATGCAACGATCATAAAACTGACAATGCGCGACTAATGATGATGATGTTTCTGTGACTTCTGCACTCTTTCTTCGGTATTCAGTACTCATAAAGCATTTGTGATGAAGGAGGCAAGGTACGCCGACACAGTTTAGCAGATATGTTCACCTTTTAATGGGGATTATTTTTGCCTGATATTTATACCCAGTGCTATGTCACGTGATTTTTCATCGCTTGCTTCTGTATCTAATAGCTTGTGTAACCTTCTGATGTCTGTCATCTGCCTCATCATTTGCATTCCTATGAGTACCATTTTATGTCATATTTGCCGATGGTACAGCGTGAATGTCCGTCCGTCTTTTTTCCCATACTTCTAAAACTGGCACAATGTTTCTCATCCGTAGTTTATTCCTGATGAACACTGCAAAGTCATTTTTTTCATACCAGCTGTTACACTCTTAAACTTTCTTCATTATTCATTAAATCGAAGAAATCGCAACCATAATACTCTACTTACAAAAAATACAGCTATTTCAGCAGCTAGCATTATCACTTTTAAAACTGTTTTTTTGCATATTCCACACCGCCTGCTACGAAGGTCAGAAAACCCCTTGCAAGCTTTGGACGGAAAGCACAGTCCTCATTGTTGTGGAATGCAGAGCTACAGATATTTTGTCTCTGTATATACAACTACAGATTGGTGATGCAGGTCAGACAGACAGTTTTACGTTAAGCTATTCATCCTATTCTTTGATCATCGCAAGAGAATTTAGATCGTAGAGTAATACTTCACGCTTATTGGCAGATAAATTTGTAAAGGTTCAAATGCACCTAATTTATCTGACTCTTCTTCTGTTTAATTGAAATTTACAGGGAATATAGTTTCTGTGCAATAGCCGTGGGCTTATCAGTATCCAGCTGCTGAAAGTTTCAAAATTTGAAACTTTCTATTTCCCTGGTATTCAATTAGACAGTTTGTTTTCACATTCAATGCGTCTTCTGCAGAATTTGCGAATTGAATGTTCTGCAAACACTAAGTTCTCAAGCTGTTGTCACAATTTTTTATAACATGTAAACACGCTGGAAAGGTGCCCCTTCAGAGACCGTATTATCACTGGTTTACAAAAATTGTTTTGCATGCAGGTTGTCATCGGAACTGCCGTCGATTGATTCACTGATCTCTGATCTGAACGTTGATTATCTCGAAACGGCCAGTTGGCTGACGATTGGTAGCAAATATGGAGCCAAAAAGGCAGCTCGCACAGAGGTGGCGTCGCCGAAGAATGACGAAAGATTAATGGTCAAAGGAAACAAGCGAAAACGGAAGCGAAAAGGTAGCTTACCATTAAATAATTAAGCAATAGCTATGGCTGTAAACGTGTAAGAATTCCAGTCTTCAATCCAATTGGCTTGGCCTATCATCAAATATGTTTAAGACAGGGATATTCGAAGCATTATTATCTAAGCAGCTCAGTAATAAATTGGAGGTTTCGTAACAAATTCGGAATATAATGCACTATGTGGAAATGAGAATAAAATTAGCGACACAAACATCGATAAGAATAACCGGGAATGTATACGTGAAAAAATGCAAATAAGCTGATTTTTACCCTAATGAAGAGTCATTTTTGCTGAGTTATGCAACAAGTAAGAGCGATCAAAAATAAAGGCAACTGATTTATTTAGCATGATAAATGTAATAATAAGATAGTAGAAAAACGGATATAGGTTTTGAAAAGAAACGGGAATGCAGAAGCTGACGATTTAAGGCTAAGCTTTGTGAGGTTTAAGCTAAGTATTTTAGGTGCAAAGTAAATTGTAGCTTTTTGGCAGTCGCTGTAACTGTACTTTAACCCAACAGCTAGTACTTGCAGTATTTCTATCTCTTTCTGTCCCGATATCGATATATCGCCCTCTTTCCAGGATTGTTAGAGATCCGGAAGAACAAAGGCGATTGACTTCACGTAACTGTAGGGGGGGGGGCAGACAAAATGTATTATAGCGTTGTTTTGCTCTTGTGGCACAGTACAACGTGATGATCATTTCTGCCGATAGAAATCGATAAAGCACAAGCGAATAAACCATTCCTATTCTTTTTGTCATTCTCTTTTTCTGCGTCTCATATCAAGTGACGAAACCCTTTTTAATAACAAATGTAAATGAATTTTACGTTCTGAAATTATAAGTTGAAAAGTTTTGGGGCTAATGTTAGATTTTCAGTGAGACTTCCAAAAAATTATGATCCAAACGTGCCTCCAGATCCGGAAAGATGGTTGCCGAAGTATGAACGTTCCGCGTATAAGAAACGAAAAGACAAGCGTGCGCGGGAACGTGAAATCGGCCGTGGCACCCAAGGAACCGTTACGGAGAATCCGGAAGCGTATGCACTGTTATGCATTCTAAAATATGAAATTTAGTTGTTAACTTAAAAGTTCCTTGAAACGCGAGATGCTCTGACTGAGTTGCCTGAGACATTTAGAACATTATTTTTGTCTTATTTAGAGAAACTGTTATTTTTTCGGAAAACGCCACCAGCTCGCCAAAGTCTCCTCTTCATGGACTAACTGCCGGAACGCAGAATATAGGACCAAGGCAAATGCATCCTGCTCCCCAGAGACCCAAGAAGAAAAAGAAGGAACGGAAGTCTTAGTTCAGTTCATTTTCTTAAAATGTTTCGGTTAAATTTATTTTTTTAACATCTAAGTAACTGGCACATAATGAAGGTCTTGTTGTTTGTTATTACGTATTAAAAACTGCAAAACACAAGATTCTTTACGCTACTCTGATAAACATTTAATCGTTTCGACAGTTATTACATACTGAGAGATAAAAAGGAAAGTTTAGCAGTTGGAAAGACGGTCTTCCTTTATGGGTAGACCATTCTGGCGCCGATCTCCGTTTCTATGCCGTCAGCTAGGAGTGCCTTTTTTTCTAAAGGCAGAGTCTACAACTATGTAGCAAGCTTAGCGTATACTCTCCTGCTTCCTTCCCGCAGAGTGGTACTCATTTATCAACCTTGGAAGGAAGAAGGGCGAATGAACCTGACCGGGGCTTCAACTCAGGACCTACTGGTTCTGAGTTCGACGCTCTACCGACTAAGCAACCACAGTCTGAAGCAATTTCTTGCTCAGGGGAATTCCCGAATAAGACATTGATTGCCCTTGAGCGAAATCGACCCGGTACCTACGGAGTTCAAAGCGGAACTCTTTGACATCTTGCCAACACACCACGCTGAAATGATGAGCAGCAAAGTTCGCGGAGTTAATACATTAACCGCAGAAGCTTATTAGGGGGAAAAGACAGTATGGTTGGCTGAAAGTTAGGAAATGGATGAGTCAATGATGGATCAAAAATAAATTAACTATGAAACACGGATGAGAACAGGCAATCAGACGGTTAAATCCTAATCTAACTGGTCAAACGGGTGTGACAAATCCTGTCAGGCTAGAGCATATTACCAAGCTGGTTCGAGTGAACGCGCGAGTTAAGTCTACTTATTGTTCCGCATTCGCATAAATGCGGAAACCTTTCTACTTTCATTGGAACAAATTTCCACTATGCATCGTATTTTATCAGGCAATTGGTTTGCCTGGAAAATTGATCAGAGGGAACTTCTGCATCGATAGAAGTGCTGTCTGTCAGCGATCTTCCGCACCCTAAAGCCAGGTCATGTCGGCTGTTGATGAAAACATACTTCAAGCGATAGAAAACTGATCCCTCCCACTCGCAGACCGAAGACGCATATTTGCAAATCACAAGAAACAAGGCTTTATGGAAGGAACACAAACGCTGAACCGAACACGATCTGTTTTTCTCATTTCTTTGCATTGAACGATTTTCTGCGTGTCTTTTGTTTTACCACTTTAGCAGTTCGATGCATTTTACGTTTTTCAAATGACTTAAGCAAATAAACTTAAATCTGAAGGCGTCGTTTAATCAGAACAAAGCTGTTATATCTAAGTGCAAAAAATATCACCTCATTTAGCCCATTTATTTCTATGTTGCTTGTTCTCTCGCGTTTCTAATTGATTTCGTTTAACGTTTGATGTATCTCTGTCGTTAATTTACCGTATTCTCAACTGTTGTTACGCAACAAGGAACATGATGGACTGGATCCCGATAGGCAGTACTAAATATTATATGCTTCATCTTCATCTTCATCTTCCATCGCCGCTTCTCCTTTCGGGTCGCGGAGGCAGACGCGTCAGAC